GCCCTCTCCCAGGCCACAGACTTGTTACTTGTTGTGTCTTCACATGGTGGAAGGAGCTGGGGATCTCTCTGGATCCTCTTTGATAAGACACCAGTCCCATTCATGAGGTCTCCTCCCTCATGATCTAACCACCTCCCAAAGTCCCCATCTAGTAATACCACCACTTGGGGAGGGTTGGGATTTTAACATAAGAATTAGGGAGAGGGGAACCCAAACATGCAGACTGTAGCACGCACTAGGCCAGGTCAATCAGAATGCTTCTCTAGGAGTGTGAATTGTGTGTATGTCTTTGCATGCACGCCCACACACACATGCTATAGAAAGAGATTAACCCCTCTGAGAACAGACTGTATATTGTGGGAATGGCTGGTGGCCAGTTTCCAAGGAAGCTTTCCTTAGAAGATGAACTGGACACCAGAGAAGACAAGAGAGGAGACTGGAGAAGGAAGGACCTGGAATTCTTCAGGTCTTTGTCCCATTAGTCGTCTCCTTCCCTTCCTGTCCCTTCCCTACCAAAGATTTACCTTTTGGCCTCAGCCCTTCTACTGCTAGTTGCTCTACCAAATACAGAAGGGGGCAGTGGGGCAAGCAAGAAAATCATGTTTGAGAGCGTGGCTGGGCTACTACAGCTAAGCTGCATAGTGCAGCAGAAACCATGGAGTGGAGGCAGGTAACACTCCTGATCGGGAAGGGGACAAGCTGTTGCACAACTGACTGGAGTTGGCTGGGGACCCATTACTGAGTTATTGGGTTTTTGTTTTTGTTTTTAAGATTTTATATTTATTCATGACAGACAGAGAGAGAGAGAGAGAGAGGTAGAGGCAAAGGAAGAAGCTGGCTCCCCACACAGCAAGGAGCCCAAGGTGGGGCTTGATCTCAGGACCCCTAGGATCATGACCTGAGCTGAAGGCAGACACTTAACTGACTGAGCCACCCAGGTGCCCTTTTGGGTTTTGTTTTGTTGTTTTGTGGAGGCACGGGGGTGGGGGTGGGGGGAATGCTACCTACATTTCATGGGAGTAGAAAAAACAGGCTAAAGGAGCCAGTGGATATTACCCAGAACTCTCAAGACTGAAGCCACAAGTTATCTGTGGATATTTAGGGAGAAACAAGAGATCTGGATTTTTTTTTAAAGATTTTATTTATTTATTTATTTATTTATTTATTTATTTATTTATTTATTCATGAGGAGATCTGGATTTTAAAACATAAGTTTTTCTGAGACGATACGTGGAAAAACATAACTAAGAGAACATCTTATTTATGTTAGAAAGCGCTTCTTCGTACCTGTGAATTACTGGTTACTGAAATCCTGTTAGGTATCCATGTTCACTCACTTCTTAGAGGTTAAAATTAGCATTAGTTTCTGCTATAGTTGTTAGGAAGAGTTGGTATGTCCAGTATATATGAGCTCACAGTCACGTTAGTCCTGTGTTCCCTTGGTGGCAGCTGCTTACTGTGCCAACGATCCGCCAGTCCTGGAATTTGATAGGGACGTTGCTCCTAGAGTTCCTTACTGAGACATGGTATTTTTCATGTCTTGGTTTTGTTGGTTGAAGGTTCTTCCCTCATCACATGCCCTCTGCCTCCCCCTGCCAGTTTTGGGTGGTATTATTTTGTAGCTTTCAAGAACAAAGACGTTCCGCCTCCCAGTCTCAGTGGAGGAGTATTTCCTCCTAAGGCATGCTGCTCCCACGCGTGTTGTCAGACGTGTCCCACTGTGGGTAACTCTCAGTAAGATACAGTAAACAGCTCGCTTGTGTTCAGAGAATTAAAGCCCAGATCAGAAACCACAGTGAAGGGCCAACTGGGCAGCAGTCTGCAAGCTGGCGGCAGGAGGAGAAGTGGCACTTCTGGCTTCGCAGCTCAGATTTTTCTAGCACAGGAGCAGGGACCAGCTCACCAGTGGGCTGGGAGTGTCCGAAATCCTGCCCTGCCTGGTGTCTCCTGGGTAGCAGCCTGAGTGGTACTGAAGTGGCAGGCAGCTGTTCTTTGCTGTTAGCAGCTGGACTGGAATGGCTGGGATAGGCTGGCTGGGATCGGCTGGGTTGAAAAGTAATTCTACTTGGACGTTCCAAAATTTGAGGTCACTCTCTTTCTTTTTCTCTTTTCTTTCTTTTCTTTTCTTTTCTTTTCTTTTCTTTTCTTTTCTTTTCTCTTTTCTTTTCTTTTTCATGCCTGTAAAGAATAAAAAACCCATTGTCTGAGGCATGAGTATTTCTCTTGGAAATACTCTTGGGTTTTTTGTTTTGTTTTGTTTTTAATCTTTTAAGCAGTTGTCCTTATCTAAACAAGTAGACAAATGATCTAAACAAGTCTAGTAGCTGAGATCTCCTCCCCATTCCTTACATTTTATTAATTGCCTGATTTTATGTACCTTCCTGTCCACAGCTCTGTCACTCTGGGTTTGAAGTGATGTGGAACCGAGTTTAAAATGTCTACCTTTGGGGTGGGTAGGTGGCTCAGTTGGTTAAGCATCTGCCTTCAGCTCAGGTCATGATCCCAGGGTCCCGGGGTTGAGCCCTGTGTCGGGCTCCCGGCTTCTCCCTCTGCCTGCCACTCCCTCTGCTTAAATAAATAAAATCTTTTTTTTAAAAAAAAGTCTACCTTCAAATTCTGTCTTCTGAGAAGTGTCAGACTCACAGATCCACGGCAGATCAGAGGAGTTCAGTCTCACAATCATTCACTGAGCACCTGCTAGGTGCCAGGCATTGGGGCAGATGCTGGAGACTCAATCCTGTATAAGACAGGCTTGCTCCTTCTGCAGTTTTTGCTTCAAAACAGTTAACAGGCTTTACAAGAGGTTTGGTAAAATTCTGCTTTGAGCGCTGGAATACCTTAAGGTTTTGGAAGAATGTGCAAGGTTAAAATACAAATATGACTATGCTTGACCAGTTTAGGGTGAGTGACACAGGTGTAAGGGCTGAGGTGTTATAAGACCTGAGACTCTTCTGATTCTGATCCTGACCTTTGTCCATTCCTTTGGCTTCAGAGATAGATGTGCACAAATAGAAAACAAGTCAGACAGAGCCTTAGGGTTATGTCTCTTCAGAAAAGCCAACTTGCATTTCCTCACAAAAATTTATCCTACTGGTTTTTCTCTCCCATTGAACCAAAGCACCTTCGGATGGATCTGAAGTCCAGCCTGGGTCTCAGAGCTCTGTGATGCTCTAGGCTTCCTACCAACTGGACATGCTATCCTGTCCAGTTTCTCACAGATTATGCTCTGACCTTTTTGCTGCTGCTCAGAAGATCCTTTGTTCCTAACTCCTGAGTAGCTGCTTTTGGGTGATTCAGGATGGGTGGAAGAGTGGAGATGCCATCAGGCTGTCCACTGGAGTGCAGGTCGAGCAGCCCATTGCTGTGGGTACTGAGGAGCCGGAGAGAGGTGACTCCAGGCACAAGGGAGGGTGGTGTGTGGGGTCCAGCACCCAAGGGCTGTCAGGGGTAGTGTTGCAGCACAGGAGGGGCTTGGGTGCAGTAAGACTGGCCAGAGCCCGCAAACTTGGGCTGTGAACCCAAACCATAAGGAAAGGGAATTTGTTCCCCCTGAACCAGACCTGGTATATACTTGATGCTACTTAATCCTCACGGAAACCCTAGTAGTTGAGCACTGCGGGGAGCTAAAGCCAAGGAGATTAAGTCCCAAGTTCACGAGACCACACAAAGATGCTCACTTCAAATTCAAACAGTCGGTTGATTCCAAAGCTTGTACTCTCCACCACCCCGAGCCTTCTCAGCGGGGGAAGGGCCCCTGCTCACGTGCCACGCAGCACAATACCAGTGGTGGCATCCTAGGACACAGAGGACAAAGGCTGGACTCCCTGTGGCCTTCCTGTCATCCGGGGGCCAGTCCCTGGCTGCCAGTTTGGATGGAATCTTCTCCTAGTGTTTTTTGGGCCACTGATGTAGCCAACCCATTCATTCCTTTGCACCACCATAGGACCACACAGATGCATAGGACGCATGATAAGCTGTATTTCTAGATTGAAGTTCATGCTATGCTGTCAAATTAAATCTCAAAATAGAAGATCCCACTTTCCAGCCATGTGGCTCCTCCCTCCAGCTCCCCGGCAAATGCTTGAGGTCCACATCTCTGGCCAACTCTGAGGAAGGGTTCCCAGAAGATGACAGCCCCACCCCCCACCCCCCAAGGGCTGTGGGGCATCACACCTGTGCACAGAGGCTGGAACCTCTGTCTGGCCCAACCACAAGGTCAGCCAGACCTCTGGGCTGTCAAGACCAGCTCCTGTGACTGAGCCATGACGCAGGTGATCTCCTGCAAGATCCCGGGACCCCTTCCTTACCAGGTGGAATCCAGCACTTCCCTCTGGCATTACTTCTGCCCCAGAGAGCAGGGGGACAGGAGAGAGGCAAGGCAGCCCTCTTCGGGGCTGGAAGGCTCAGGAAAGGAGTGGAGCACCAGCTCAGGTACCATGCAAGGCTTCGGGGGGAAAAAGAAACAGCTGGGTGCTCATTCCCACCACATAGACACAGTACGGTTGGCGCCTCCTTTGGGCTGGTTTACTTTTGAAAAATAGAACCGTTCCCCTGCTAAGAAGCTGGCAGGGCTCATGACGTAGTTCTACCAGCCCCTTGCTGTGTGCCCTTCAACAGTGGCTCCTTCATGTCCTTGCACCGACCCGCTCCCTATATATTCTGCATGTTCACGCCTCTCTCCCCCACCTCCTGATTTCCCGGGCTTTTTAGGTCCTTCTGATACGCTCAGCACAAAGTCACAGCCATTTATTAAGTTCCAGCTACGTGCCAGCTATGTGCACCTGGCTCACTTAATTTTCCCGGCAACCTCAGCGTGCATCTCCAGCTGACAAATGAGAAGACAAGCCCAGAGAGGTTCGGTACTTTCTCAACATTGCAGAGCTTCTCATAAGTGGCAGAACTGGGATTCGAGCTCCTGTCTGTTGGATGCCAGAGGCTGTGCTTCAGCCCCTACCTCCCTGCTCTGTACTGCTCCGGGAGGTAAGAGGCAACTTCTCAAATCATGCTTCAGTATCTGTGATGTTGCTGGATGATGAGTGAGCCCCGCATTCAGCGGCCATTCCCGGGGACCAGCAGGACCACACTACCTAGGGCTCTGGGTGTCAGCTGTTGGCAGAAGCTCCCCCGGGGTTGCCTGCTGCTTGGAGCTGGCCAGCAAGGAGCCCTCACCCTGCTCCCCAGAGATCCAGCTGCTGTTTGCAGCTCAGTGATTTGAGCAGGCCTCCCAAAGAAGCAGTTTTTGCAAACTCGGCCTCGACCCCTCCCTCTTCCAGGGATTGCAACTCCTGGCTCTGGCCGGAGGTCTAGATTGCAAGATAAGGAAGGAGCTGGGCCAATTTTCTGGTGGCTTCTTGGCACCGAGTTCTCATGTTTTTGCAGCAGCCACAGGCCCTACCTACATCCTTCCTGGAGACTCCAGGGTAGAACACAAGCAAACTCCCCTCTTCTCACTTCCCCAGCCCCTGGCATGGGGGAGGCTGTCTTGATTTGCTATGCTCAGAGCCCCCCTTGCTGGGTGGGGGCTTCCATATGGCCCCCATTAGTAAAGGATGGTTTTTGAGGGGCTCCTGGAAATGTGTTGCAGGTGGGCTCCCGGGCGCTTGGCTTTCCTACCAGCCTCCTCGGTTCTGTTTGCTTTGCCTAATTGTGTTTTCTCTGCTGATTTGCCTGAGTAAAGTTTTTCTTCCCCACTTTATCCAAGGTCTCCATGGTGCATCTGGTACCCATTTGGCTGGGGAGGGGGCAGAAGCAGGGTAGTTAATTGAACGCTTGGCACAGGGCTGCAAGAAGCAAACTGAGAAGAGAAGCAGGTCCTGGGAGAGCTCGGGGAATGCGGTTGGCGGGAGACTGTACCGGGTGCAGACTGCACAAAATCCATCTTCCCACTTGGTTTCCATCCAGGAACAGAGCCATGGGAAGGCCGAGAGAAGGACTTTGGGGTGACTCTGGCACTGGATTGCAACCCCTGCTTCAGTGTATGCCCCACAGGGGCCCATCTTTCTTGCTCAGCAGGGTGCGGGGTGGAGGCATGGCTTCTCAGCAGGTGGCCAGGGTGCCAGGAAGCCCTACCTGCAAGATGGGGGATGGGGGGAGCCAGGGACTGGAAAAGACACCTGGGTCTCTCTTCCTGCCTCCATCTAGTCTGGAGTCGGGTCTCTCATTCTGTGACAGGAATTTTGGCACCAGACTGTGGTCTGCTTCTAGGATGCGGAGTAGAAGTAAAAGTGAAGCAGCACCACTCAGAATCCCCACTTCTGGTGGGGGCCCAGGGCCCACCCAGTTGGGATGGGAGTGTTCTTTGTCTGTTCACCTGCCTGCCTGTCTGTACCTAGAGAGGCCAAAAACACCCTAGGCTCTAGAGTCACAGAGTTTGGATTTCCAATTGTGGTGCCTGTTCCATGCATGTCATTCAGTGAATGCCGATTCATTCTGGAGCCTCAATTTCCTCATCTATAAAATGGTACCAAATTATACTGTTCTGAACAGTAATCGAAATGATTCAAAACACATCAGCTCTGCACCTCTTAAATGACTGTACACATATTGCTTCACTCAACCAACAACTTAGGAGGAGGGTAGTTTCTTCATCACCGTCCAGCATCCCCGTCTTATGGAGGAGGAAACAGGCAGAGACAAGCCAAGTGACTTGTCCCCAGTCTCGCAGCCAGGCTGGGAGCTTGGCCCAGAGCCAGCACACCCAGGTGGGCCCATGGCTGGTGGGAGGAGGCACATGCCCAGCACCAGCCCTCTCTCTTGCTACCTCAGGCCTGCTGGAGCTGCTCAGGCCACCCCGAAGGACAGTGACATGGGGCCAGCAGACAGAGTACAGGAATGAGACATGAGAGGAGGAGGCTGGATCAGGAGGATATGCTAGGCGGGAAACCCGAGGGGTGGAGCAGGGGACATGGGAACCGGGGTGGGCCAGCCCTGTTCCAGCTGCTCCCACCGAGGCCACAGCTCCTCCATGCTGGATGTTCTCAAATCCACAGTTTATTTGTGGCTCTCAGAATTCTGACCACAGGTCAGCCCTGGTGGCCTGCTGCTGCAGGCCAACATCTCCTGATTTAGGACTTCTCCATCCGATTGCTCTTCCCCGGCTGCTGGGCACTTGCAAGTGGGACCAATGTGCTTTTGAGACCTGGCTACCTTCCTTTGTCTTTTGCAAGAGAGGCCAGTATCCCATCTGGGTCCTGCCTGCACACCACCCTGCCCCCACCTGCACACTGTCATTACTGTGTTGTGGCTGCTCCCAGTACAGACCAGGGTCTCCTCATGGAAAGAGGTAGCCTGGATGCTTGCTGGCCATACCCCTGGACTTCACCCACCCCTCCAAGGATGACCTACATGGATGTGACGGATCACAAAGCTCTGGGAAGAGAGTGACCTGAAGGAGACAGGTACATGCCTTCACTGGATGGATTTGAAGGACCCACACTCATGAATCTTCCCAAGATGCCCTACTCCCAAAAGAACAGTAGGGAAGGAAGCAAAGAATACCATGGGGAAAGCATGGAGGAGAGAGGCCTCAGGGGGCATGCCGAGTGGCTGGCCATGTCTTAGCACATGATTCTGTCTGTATTTACACACATCTGATCAGATTGAGCTTCTAACAACTTACCTTTTTACCTCTTACCTTCTACCCAAGGCCAGTGCCCTCATATTCCTCATGCTGGATGGCTGCCACCTAGCCCAGGAAAGCAGGGAAATCTGTGTCAGGGCTCGGGAGATCTACACAAGTGACTTTCAGTGCTTTCTTTACCAATAACTATGGTAAATGGGTGGTTCAGCAAGACATCAAGAGGTGGGCCTCTTAGGGGACAAAGGTCCCTGCATAAAGCAGTCAACTTCTACCATCTCAGTGCTGGCTGAGAATGAGGGAAATGGGGACTGAGTGGTAGAAACAGACAATGAGTATCAGCTATGTCTTTAAGATCAGCTGGAATAAGGGGACCAGGGCTCATTTCATTCGCTGCCTTGCCTGGAGTCTGGGCAAAGCTTGTAGCTTTGGATAAAGACTCAGTTGAATTGGAGGGTCTATGATGGATATGGAAAGTGCCGGGGACTTCCTTTCTGCCTTATTTCAAATCCTCAGGGACCAGTCTGGACAGGCTTCAAAACAGCTCAGCCCAACAGCAATGTGACAGTGTCTGCCCCAGGATGTTCCTGAAGCTGCTGCATGAATGCCCACAGAATATGCTGGGCACTCATCCTGGGACAGCCTGGAGATGTGGGGGAGTTAGTGCAAGAGCCACCATTGACCCTTGGGAGACAGCCTATAAGTCAATGCTCACCCATTTCATTACCTGAGCAGAGAAATCTGAGCTACACTCACTCAGGCTTTTCAGAAATTACGATGGTCCTCTGTTGCCCATAGGAGCAATCAACTCAGTCCTACATCTTTGCCTTTCCCACTTTTCCCTGTTTCACTACTCAGGTCCTCTCTCTGGATCCTTGGAATCACTTCCTGAATAAACTATCTTCAGGTAAGCCTGTTTCTCAGGCACAGCTTTTAGGGGAACTCAAATGAAGATAGCCATTCATAAAGTTGAAAGAAGGAGGGGAAGGTGTGAAACAATTGTCATCGAGTGGAAGTATCATAAAACTGCCAAACATGCTGGGTTTGTACTTGGGGTGTGCAGTAATGTGTTTAAGGTAAACCCTATAGCCCCTCTGTATTTTCAGCTACCACTTGGAGCATCTCAGCTATGGTCACAAGATATGTGGATATGGATTTACTCTTGAATGGACTTTTGCCAGATGGATTTTATGGAAAACAAAAGGCAAGAAAAATAAGAGAATTCATAAAGCATCCATTGTAATGGTAAACCATGGAATGAAGCAGAACAAGGAGGTAAGTGAGGATATAAGGATATATATATATATATATATATATATATATATATAGAGAGAGAGAGAGAGAGAGAGAGAGAGAGATAGAGATATATATATCTCCTTATATATAAAAACTCACTGTATATAAATAATCTTGCATACATATGCATATATGTTATCTTGGCATATATTTTGTATCTTTATAAAGAAATATACAAAGATGGTAAAGTCAATGGATTGGTATTGGAGAGATGTGATGTCAGGGTTTGGAACACAAGCATGAGACTGTGGCTGAGGGGGAGAGTAGAGATTAAAGATTGTTAGTGGGGAGGCAGTCATGAAAGGTATGGAATGGTCTGCTCTTCTAAAAGGTTGTTAATTCACCAAGAATGGTGACAGGAATTGGCATGGAGAGCTAGATGCTAGAGTCATTAATGAATGAAGGAGAGTAGATTGGTAGACAACAGTTGCAAGTAAGAATGGCAGGTAGGAAAGTGTGACATGAATTTCGAAGGACGTGGGGGTTTTGAAGTTGGAGGGAAGAGAATTGAATTACAAATACACTGGGATACCTGCCCCACCCTCAAGCCCTCCTATATAAGGAATGAATGATGGTGAGCCCCAAATAGCCTCTCCACTTGAGAAGGTGCAGATGATGTGGCCTTTTCAGGAGACAGCCAATTTTCCATTAGGGCAAGATATGAAGAGATCTTACAACTAAAGACAAAGAGCACAGATAGAGGCACCTGGTGGTAATAGATCCTGTGTGTCAGGATGCATAGTATTCATAGTATGTAAAGGTTGGGAACATGAACAAGGAGTGAGAAACAGAGACAATGCTTGCCTTGTAGGATTATTGTCAATTTGAGAGATAAGTTTATATAAGTGGCCAATAGAATGTCTGGTGAAGATGATGATGATGATGATGACAACAATGATGATGATGGGGGTGGAGGTGGTCATGGTGGTAATCACAGTGATGATGGTGATGATGATGATCTCAAGTAGAGCAAGATTTAAAGACATATTTCAGGTAAAGTCAAGAGAAGTACAGTGTAGGACCCAAGTGTCCTTGAGTCTCGTCCTGGCTCCGCTATGGCTAGCTATGTGGCCTGAAACAAATCTGTCATCTTTCCTCTCTGGGTCATGGTTTCTTCATCTACAAAAACGAGAGGAATATATAACATCCGTGGCTGTCAACTCAAGATGGCAGAGTGGTCATACATAAAATATAGATCATAACTTCCTGAAATACTTTTTCCAAATCTCTATTTGCTCCCCAGCCCCGAAAGCCTCCAACACCTACCCTACCATCCTCAACAAGTCAACTCTCATTCTCTGGTTGAGGACCCAAGTCTTCCAGGTGATTTAATAAATGCGCTCCCCACACCCAGCCCTATTTTTTTTTTTCTTTAGGGAACTGCTGTGCCAAGAAGCTGGTCTTTCCTCTCCCAAACGTCATTGCTCAGAAAGCGATGGTGAGAAAGATGTGGTTTGTCAGGCAGAGTTGGGTCAGAGCATTTATCAGAGGGACCAGATGCCCTAAGCTCTGCCCTTGGTGGGCAGATGGCCAAACAGCAGCCAGAGTTATTTTTACAGCTTTATTCTTTGGGCATTTCCCCCATTGAAATGCATAAGAATGAGAACTGAATCAGCACAACTCCATTCTCTTGCTGCTGTTTTGGGGGTTTTGTGGAATACCAGACCACACCGTGCTGTTGGCCAGCCTGGACACTGGCTATGCTTGAGTAAGTTAGCCCCTCGGCCAGTCATCCAGGAGAAGTGCAGGAAATACAGGCATAGTGGTGGGCGTGAGCCCAGCACATGATGCTCAGGCCTGCCTCAGGCACCCCTCTGTGCCCAGCAAGAGGCATAGAAATGTACTCAGCACATAGTAGAGATGCAACGAATACTTGTTAAGCTGCAATCTAAGGGAAAGCAGCAGTGGACCAAAGCATAGCAGTGTAGGGGAAGTCATTGGTTTTCAGATGCAGGAGAAAGAAAAACTACAGAGAACTATCATGTTAGGGTGAGCCAAACTAGCATCAAAGTTCAAGGGCAGACTAAAATCACTGACACACAAGGACTTGACCCCCACAGACGCTCTCTGAGCAGATACACTTGAGTGTTTCTAGCAAGAAGAAAAGTGACCCTAAGAAACAGATCAAGTCATAAGAAAGTGGCAAGCCAATAAGCATATAAACTTAGTAGTTAAATCTAAAAATGTTTGTGAGGGATCCCTGGGTGGCGCAGTGGTTTAGCGCCTGCCTTTGGCCCAGGGCGCGATCCTGGAGACCAGGGATCGAATCCCACGTCAGGCTCCCGGTGCATGGAGCCTGCTTCTCCCTCTGCCTATGTCTCTGCCTCTCTCTCTCTCTCTGTGTGACTATCATAAATAAATAAAAATTAAAAAAAAATAAAAAATAAATAAAAAATAAAAATGTTTGTGATAGTAACATGTGAAAAATAATAAATACAACTAAACATGAACTAAAATCTTGGGGCACCTGGGTGGCTCAGTGGTTGAGCATCTGCCTTCAGCTTGGGTCATGATCCTGGGGTCCTAAGATCGAGTCCCACATCAGGCTCCCCACAGAGAGGCTGCTTCTCCCTCTGCCTGTGTCTCTGCCTCTCTCTGTGTGTCTCTCATGAATAAATAAATAAATAAAATATTTTAAAAATAATAAAAAATAATCCCAAATGATTTCAGTGTGCTGGGTTTGGGACAGAGAAGAAAGTGAAACCAGGCTAATATTAGAATTGTATCAAATCAATAGATAACTTTTCAGGGAGAGTATATAGACATTGACTAGTACCAGAGATCCATAGAAAAATAGGTGCCTAAATGTGTTTTCAAGTGTAAGGGTGATCACCAGAAAAACATAGATATAGGATCTATAATGTCCAAACTTCTGGAGGAAAAAAAATTCAAAGAATTCAACCTGCAGCTAAAAACCAATGACTTCCTCTAACCTGCTATCCTTCAGTCCACTACTGCTTTCCCTTAGATTGCAGCTTAACAAGTATTTGTTGCATCTCTACTATGTGCTGAGTACATTTCTATGCCTCTTGCCTGACACAGGCCTGAGCAACGTGTGCTGGGTTCACACCCACCACTATGTCTGTATTTCCTGCACTTCTCCCTATTAAAGCAGAGGAAAAAGGTATGGGGGGTGCTAGCTAACAAAGATATTTTTGAAGTAGGATACATGGAAAACATTAAATAAGGTTGTAGAAATATATCCAGTCATATTAGTTATCACAAGATATGTAAATAGGCTAAATTTCTCCTGTTGAGATAGAGACTCATGATTTGGGTAAAATAAAATCCACTGTGGGCCATGATGTGAAAACATTAGAAAGTTGGGGGATACACTCCAAAACATTAGTAAAATTTCTAAGTCAAAAATTATGTGCTGATTTGGTTTTACTAGATATTGCCTCACTGCTCTCCAAATTAATTTTATTAATTTACTTTTAGAGTGGTGCTAGAGTTCCCCTAGCCAAATATTGATTTTGTTATACTTTAAAATTTGTGCCAGTATATCAGGTATAATATGTTATTTCATTGTTATTGTATTTTGTGTTACCTTACTTAATAATGAGGTTGAGTAACTTTATATGTATTTTTTTGCTATTCCAGTTTTATTATATGAACGGCTTGTTCCTGTCATCTGTCCCTGCATTTATACATTTTGTCTTGTTCTTATTGATTTATAGAATTTCTTTATAAATTTGGAAAGTAAACTTTTCTCAGCCATATACATTGCAATATCTTGTTCTTGTCTTTGATTTGTCTTTTCATTTTGCTTGCAGCATTTTTGAACTACACTAGCTTAAAATTTAATGCAGTCAGATTTTATAGGCTATACTTACTGTGACTCGTTTAAGAAATTCTTTTGTATTTGAAAGTCAGAACCAGGTTCTTCTCAGCCCAAATGCTACTTCCTTAGGAAAGCCTTCTCCAATCCCTCAAAATAGTGCATGTCCCATTGTTAGATGCTCTTGTGATACTGTTTTCTCTTTTTTGTTGCACTTATCCCAGTTGTAATTATACATTTATTTATGCAATTGACAAAAAGTCTGACTCCTCTACTGTGAGCTCCAGAAGGCCTCAGACCATGTCTTATATTTTCTCTTTCATTGTAATATCAACAGGGCTTAGCATAGTTCCTTTCATGTGATAGGAACTTATTAAGTTCTTATATGCAAGCATTATTTTAGGACTTCACATGTTCTCATTTAATAGTTATGACAGACACAAAGAAGAGGTGCTATATTGCCCACATATTAGTGATATAGAAACTGGAGCACGGAGAGCCTAAGTGGCATGTTCACTGTCACATAGCTAGTCAATACCAGAGCCAGAATTCACACCCAGGTGGTCTGGCTCCACACCCTTTGCTCTCAGGTGTTAACGTATGTTCCTCAAAGGTAGGAACTCAACAAATATTTACCGGATGAAATAAGTGAAAAAAATCCACAATTTTAGCACAGTTCTCTCAGAAAGACCATTTAAAAAAAAAGAAAGCTGGTATGTTTGAATAAGAAACTACAAGCTGTATAAGTTATTTTTAACAGAATTACATATATTCCTTCAAATACTCATGGAGCAGTAACAAAAATGTACTATCTACTATGAGTCAAAGGAAATCTCAATAAATATTAAGTAGCTGAATGGATTTAAATACATTTACTAGCCAACTGCTAATTGGCTAATAATACTGTAATATTAGCTACATTTAATACTGTAAATTAGCTACAGAAAGTGGGCAGAAAACCTCTTTTTTATGGTGTTGTTCTTCTTATTTACATAGTTAAATGCACAGGTATTCAGTGTGCAGCTCATAGAATTTCACTGTACACACCTATATAATCATTCAGTGGCAGATCTAGAACACTTCCATCATTCAAAAATGATTCCTCCTGCCCCTTCCAGTCATCCTGCCATCCAGAGATGATCACTATCTGTTCTTGAACTTTATGTAAATAGTGTCATGCAGAAGATATTCTTTTGTA